CACAGCTAACGAATAATTACCTTTTTTTTTAAAAACATATCATAGAGGGGAAATCAAAAGTTAATATTTTACTTGAAAATAAAAATTGAGATAGACATTGCTCAAATAAATATATTTATTACTTTAAAATGACAGAACCCTAGTGTAAAAAAATACAAATACGCAAAGATCTAAGAGAAAATCTTTCGGATAATCTTCATGGGTTTTATGTCTACGTTTGGAAAAAGTTTTGAAAATAGTTTTGATAAGGATATAAAAAATTTCAAACTTTTTTTTTGTGCTTAACTGTGGGATATTGGTTAGGAAACCAATGTCGTATAGTAAAACTATATACTGAGTGACATTGGTTAGGAATAAGGTGTTAACTTCCTGGTTAAATGCTCTTCCACGGCGCTCTATGATAAGACCTGGAAGCACCTTAACAACCACATACACACACACATACATACACACATACACACACATACACACACATACAAACACATACACACACACACACACACACACACACACACAAACTAATAATGTATATTTTTCTGTACAATTTTGTTAACTAAAGTAACTGTTAACAAACAGTTTTTCTGTACAATTTTTTTAAATTAAAGTTTGTTTACTAATACAGTGTTTTTCACAAAATTTCAAGACTGTCTAAACACAGCATCATTTAGATAATTTACCCAGTTAACCAACTCAGCTGGGTCTCAGCTGGGATTGACTGGGATTGAGTTGGGATTACTGGGATTGGGTTCGGGCTGGGATTTGTTCTGGGCGCTACATGGGTCCCATATAGTGTAAAAATATTGCCCCAAACAAAGTCTGGGTTTTTACTGGGATTGGCATGGGTCTTCCGTAAATGATTTGAAGATGGGACGCGTAGTTTGATGATAGCGTGTATTTCTAATCAAAGCAGTTTTTTTGGCATCGTTTTTATAAAGAAGTATATAAAAGTATATAAAGAAGTTTTGTTGAAATAAAATTACAGAACTACAATGTTAAATTTTTTTAAAATAGTTTATATGAGTTAGTGTACTTACAGTAATGGCTTAGTGTGTTTAATTTTAATGTTTTTTTAAACAAATCTCAAAGACTTTTTGAAAAACCTTTGAATTTGCTATGTTTTGTAAAATGACTTTGACAAATTTTATTTATAAAACAAAGCAAAGTTTTACTATGTAACACTGCTGTACGTAAACTTTACATATTATTTATTTTCACATAAATCATTTAATAAATGGTTTATGTAGGTGTAAAAGTTTAAAATTGTTTAAATAATAGATTGTTATATATCGTTGGAAAGAATTTTAAAAAAATATTCCAAAACTAATTTTATTAAAATCGGATGATTCTACAAAAGGTTATGAGCATTAGAGTGACGAAATTTGATTACAAGGATTCCTTAACAAAAATGTGACCAATTTATAATGGTTTTGTAACTTAAACCGCTTAACATTGTCAAACCTTATCTAAATGCATATAACTTGGTATAAAAAGATAGGTGCAACATTGGGCTACAAGCTTCTTTTGCTTTTAACACCTGTGTGTATTCAGGGGGCTAGAGGAGGGACAGAAGAAACATCTTCTGTCCCTCCTCTAAGGTTGTATAATAAAGGTTATATAATAAAAAACATCTAAGGTTGTTTTTTATTATATATAAAACCAGTAATTAATCAGTTTAATTTGTTATTTTTTCATTCCAGTTTGCAAGCAAATATTATAAATGTATTTTATGAAGGAGGTGGATGTGGTGGTAATGGTACACACCCTAGTTTCGAAAGATTCCAATGATAATTATTTTTATTATTATTAAAATGAATGAAAATAGTAAGTTATGAAACTAGTATATAAAATAATACATAATAAAAACTATATTTTATTAAATTATGTGTTAGTGAGATAAATAAATTATAGGATGTAAGGCGACACCCCCCCCCCCCCCATTTCTATCACAAAAAAAAGTTTAAAAACAAAAATTAGCAGTATAAAAAGTGGTAGAGTACGCTCCTTCCAAATCTTAAAACTTTAAATTTAATGCTGCCTTTAAATGCTCTAATTGCTAAAATAAAAAAGAAAAGAAAAGAAAATGTATACATATGTATAATAAATAAGAAACTTACTTAATGCGATTGTTTATGTAAACTAATAATAACGCTTAATATAAATAACAACAATAACATAAAAAATTATGTTTTAATTTATACTTATTTCTTGACTTTTAGTGAATGATTAAAAACAGTTCGGGTCACTTTTAAGCAAGAAAACTAAGTTATATATATATATATATATATATATATATATATATATATATATATATATATATATATATATATATATATATATATATATATATATATATATATATATAATACAGAGAAGAAAAATATGTTAAATTAAGGCTTCTGTTACTTTGTTAGATATTTTTTAGAGTAAATGGTTAATTTATCTTAACCGTCCAAGTAGCGTAGTTTGTTAAGCTGTATAACAGTGTTTGCTGCAATACAATCCCTGCAAAACAGTTTCTCTTTTAATGTTTCCAATGCTTTAAGTGAAGACTTATGCAAGCAGAAGTCATTCTATCCAATAGGTGAAGATGGCAGTTTAGTTTATTGTTGCTCGTAAAAACTACTACACAAGTTAGCAAGGTGATCTACAGACTGGGTAAAATGACTCTAATATTCATAAGCTGTACCCCAAGCAAGTTGGTCAACAGCCACAACCATGCATCGTGTTTTGGTTGGAAAGTGCACAGCATTTACATGGATACCCTCTTGCGTAGTAGCATCAAAGCCCGAGGTCATATTTTTTGTTGCACTAGCTATTTCATTAGTCTGCAGATCTGAACGCCAAGCTCACGCATCATCTGCTCCACAGTTGTACGATGCGGATTTTCAGTTGTTGAACATTTATTTTGAAAGTATACAAGTAAAACATGTCCTTTAAGACATACCTGGTATGAAAAAAGTTTAAGATACTCTGATTTCAGATGATTCAACATTAAACATTTCTTTGACATTTTAAAAACTCTAGGACAAGTGTAAAAATTTATTTTATTATTTAGAGCACTAAGCTGTAAATAAATAAATTATATATATTTAATATAGAGAATAAAATAAATATAGTAAAGAATTCACAAAATTTTATTGTAACATGTTTAATAATATTAACGCTGCATGTTTAACATGTTACAATAAGTTATTGCAATAATTATTATTCAAGAAGGGTTATTGAATAACCCTTCTTGAAGGAGAGTTTTTGTAGACGTTCATAACTTATAGAATAACAAAGCAAATATAATATATAAATATTTATAATTCTATAGAGTATATAATAATAAATTGAATTTTAATAGTTTATTAAATAATTTATTTAATAAACTATTAAAATTAAATTAATTTTAATAGAATATAATTACTATTGCAATAGCCTAGCAAAAAAACATACTTTGATTAACTATTTAATGAGTAAATAATGATGCAAATATACGATAAATATAGTTTAATACTTTGAAAGAATAATCAAAAACAATTTAATACTTCAAAAGAATAATCAAAAAACTAAAAGTATAACTAAAAAATTATATATCTTCAAAAGATTCAAAAAAGATTCTTTTTAAGAATCCACAAATGCCACAAGGTTGTTTATAAAAAAACAGCAAGTTAATAAATATGCATTTTGCACCAATCGGAGTTACAAAAACTATCATGTGACTACAAAAAATGAAAAAAGCGAACGCAGCGAAACAAGGCAAGAAATCCAGCATTTCATAGAAAAACCTAGGGTGCTTGGGTAAACCCAAAACCAATGTGCGCTACACCTGATTAGTATAAAAATTGTACCAATGTTAGACAAATTTATGATACCTGAAAGTTTCATAAAGTACCTGTCATAATTTACAGAGCTGTGATTCATAGAAAAAATGTGCCAACTTATGATGAAAAAATATATATGCTTTTTTTTTGTAAAGAAGTCTAAAAATGTATTAAAATTTAGACAAACTGTTTTCCTAACAACGTACAAAATTTCAAAAAAATTGGTTAATAATTAGCGCTACAGTGTCGTTTGCCCTAATACGTGTCTTGTCAAATTATAAATATTATCACGTTACAAAACATAATAGTACTATGTTTTTTAATGTGATAATATTTATAACTTGAGTTATAATATAAACACTATAACTTTAATTTTAATTTGTAGTATAAGGTTTTATATGAAAAAATATTCAAATAATTTATATTTTGAATTACTTGTAAATAATAGTAATTAATAATAAAAATCGTAAACTGCCCAGTTAACCACAACAACTGAGTCCTAGCTGAAATGTAACTAGATTATTGGAACTTAGTTATGGCTGGGATTTGAACTGGGTAAAAGATGGGTCCCATTTGGTGCAACGATTGCGGCAAATATTATGCTTGAAAGTATGATAAAATCTTTTAAAATGACATATGCAGTATCGCAGATTGATTATTACAGGAACTTAATTTGGTTTGTTTTTAGTATTTTTGTAAAAAAAAATTATTTACATATCAGTTGTTATTTATAATAATAGTATAAATACTTTTATAGCAAAATTTAGATATTCATTTAACAAACGATTTAACAAAAAAAAAAAAAAAAAAAAAAAAAAACAACAACATGGCATACTCTTAATATACTTCTTAAATGCTAATTAACATACTTCTTAAATGCTCTAAATTTCATAACCATTAACAAGTTTGAGAGTATGTCAATGTTTACTTTTATACAGACTTGTAAAACGTGTTATCAAACTGAAGACATATTTTTATTTTTTCATGCAATAGACAAATGTTGAAAATTTTTCAAATTAGTTTTTATGGTTTGGTGTGCTAACAGTTATGACTTAAGCCCGTTCTCCATTAAGAACTATTTGCGCTTTGGAGGAACGAAAGAGTTCTTTGAGCATGCGCAAAAAATTCTGATTGGAGAACGGGTTTAAAAAAACTGTTTGCGCATGCTCAAAGAACTTTTCCGCTTCTCCAAAGCGCAAAAAGTTCTGAATGGAGAACGGCCTTTAGTCACTAAGTTAGTGTGTTTTATTTTAAATTATTTATTTCAAGCAAATCTCAATGACACTTTACAAAACATGGTAAGGTTTTATTAAGTAATACTGCCTTATCTAAACTTTACATATTATTTACATATTATTATTATAATAATACTATAGTAATATTATACATATTATTATTAATAATAATATTATACATATTATTATTAATAATAATATTAAACATATTATTGTTAATAATAATATTATACATGTTATTATTATAATAATACTATAATAATATTATACATATTATTGTTAATAATAATAATATTATACATATTATTATTATAATAATTACATATTATTATTATAATAAATACATCAATGTTTTACATTTTCTATAATTTATATAATTAATAGTATAATACTTATATTATAAATACTGTAACTGATATTATAAGTTATAATATAAAGTTTTGTATGAAAAAATGTTTAAATTATTTATATTGTGAAGTATTTGTACATCATAGTAAGTTTTAACGTTTAGCTTTATTTATCTGAAGTAGTAAGAAAATTATCACAATTTGTTTGAATATATTTATTTATTAAATACTTTTTTTAATTCTTAAAAATATAAATATTTATATATTTTTTGATACCAATATTCAGACATTTGTTTAAGAAACTATTTGGCTAGTCTAAAATAGGAAATGTTGAGTTTTAAGGTTTTAAGATGTTTTTTAATTATCACAGGATTTTATATAATAGTTTTAAAATATGTTCTGAAATAAATTTAATATACAATCATAAAATGCTACTCAAGTGCAATATAAAATGTAGTTTTGATGCTAAGTATTGAAAAAACTGAATCTTTCAATAATCATGAGTGTTTTGTATTTTTCACTTGCCATAGTAAGTTAATTTCATTGTGTTATTATATGATATCATATAGTCATATATAATATGTTTATTTACAATGTTATATCAAAGATATCAAATTTTTTTGGTAATAATTTTTTAATCTTTGTTATTTTTGTAAACAATTTAATGAAATTTTTGATTTTAATAAAACTTTATTAAATTTATTAAGGAGGTTCAATAGTATCTATGCTTTGTTTTTAGAATGGGTTTGTGTTGATTTATGATTGACAACAGAAAATGCATTACTTTAACAAATGTTAGTTTTTTACACGTTAGTTATATAATCTTCTATGAAATGGTTCATCTAAATCTAGTAAGTTAACACCTAATTTGACAACATTATTTTGAATATTTTTGTTTCAGAAAGTTCAGGAAATTTTTACTTTACCCGAGTTTTAATATCTCAAACAGTTAGCTAGTTATATAATCGTTAGTTATATAATCTCCTATGAAATGGTTCATCTAAATCTAGTAAGTTAACACCTAATCTGACAACATTATTTTAAATATTTTTGTTTCAGAAAGTTCAGGAATATTTCAATTTCCCCGAGTTTTAATATCTCAAACTATTAGTTTACAGAGTTTGATAACATAATCGAACAGGGTTGCCGCTCAACCTGTTTATTTATGCTATCAAACTCTGTAAACTATTTTATCAACACGCAAACCCTGGAATACTTGGAAATAGCATGAATCCCAGGGAAAACCTGGAATACTCAGGGATTTTCTAAAATTTTCATAAAATTCAGGGAAAACTCAGGAAAAATAATTTTTTTATTTTTAGTTTTGTTCAATAATTTTTTTTTTTAATAATATTTTGCTTATACGTAAAGTAATAAGTTTGCTAGTTGTTAGTGTTGTTGTAAAAGTTTTAGTTTGTCAAATATAAAGATTGCGTTTAATCAAGGAAAATAATAATCTTGTTGATGAACAGGAAAGAGTATAGAAAAGTCAGGGATAACACAGGGAACTTAAAGAGTTCTCAGGGAAAAACATTCTTTACTCACGGAATACTCAGGGAAAAACTTTAAAAAATGTTGTGGCAACCCTGATAAAATAATTTCTGTATATTAAAAATATATAGAATTTGCAAAATATACAGGTTTTTCCAAATATTGACCTGGGCTTCTGTGAATGGATAAGTTTTGTGAATAGAAGATGGACTGTGAATTTCTAGGAAATGTGAATGTTATTATGATAGCACATATTTTTAGAACAAGAATAGTGTGTTTTACATTATTTTCATTAAAAGTTTATGAATATATATATGATAAAAACATTTTTAAAACTACATATACAGTAGTGTGACATGATTTGGAAAAAATATACATTTAAAGGATTTTTCACATAAACTTCATTTGGTACCTCAATGGTAGTTTGTTTTTATTTTTATTTTCATTTATCTGTTGATTAGTAGAATAATATGTACTAGTAATAATATTTATATATGGTAAAGCATGTATGTTATTCCTGCAATATGATTTCAATAGTCAATTTTTTAATACTTTAATGGCAGCATGTATTGTCATCAATAAATGCTGCCTTTATCACAATGTAGTAAAGTTTAAAAGTTATTCATGTATAATGATTTTTTAAACCAATTTGTTAGGGCGTTATATTTTTTAAAATCTACTGTGAAATAAGTTTAATATATAATCACAAAATGTAGCTCAAGGCAACATGAAATTAAACAATAAATTCTGGTCCACAATAATTGATATACGTTATGTTAGACTAATCATGAGTATAACTATTATATATAATAATATAAGTACTCTACAATTGTTTATAATTATAAATTTTCATTGTGAAAATAATTTTATTACTAAATTTATTGTGGTCAAAATTACAATTGTTTTTAATTTTTTTTCAATATGTTTAAATTGTAGCTAATAATTATTTTCAAGTAATAATATAACCTAAAATAATTATTGTTTAATTAGGTACAATCAAAATGTTAGTGATATTGATTAATTTTGCATTTATTAAATTATATAAAAGATATTAAACCCTAACCAACTGATTTAATGGTTTGATGTTAGCTTAACTTGAGTCAAGACTTTAAATTTTAAATGGTAGCATAGTATTCATGTTATATTATTGTTGTTTACAAGTCTATTGATGTCATGCCTAACTATTAACATCATTTTTTTACCATGAAATAACATTGTTTTAGATTACCTGCAGGATGCCTGTTAAAAAGAAAAACTGAAGAAACTTTAAAACTAGATGATGCCAACTAAAGAAGTTGGAACACTTTTATTCATGGGGTCATATCGTGGCTTCAGTTCTCCAGTATTTATTTTTTTATTTTACTATATATGTTATGTTTATTTTATTTTTTATTGTTGTTATTTTTGTAACGACAACCCGGTGAGAAATGAGCTAGCGACTAGCTAGCTTTATAGCGATTTTCTTATTTTATTCTTTACTTATGTCTCTAATATTTTTAAAAATTCGATTTTTAGTGTTTAGTCTATTAGAATTATGACAATAATTAAACTTTACACATTTTGATTTTGGAGCAATGTGTTGCTAGCTACATATCGTAGCTTTGTAGCTAGCTACAAAATATCTATAAATCTATAGCTGGTTGATACTACATACTAAAATTTTTTTTGATAGCAATTTTATTACGATATAACGGATGCTACAATAGCCTGTGAGTCTTTAGCTTATTAAGCTAGCTGTTTTCGTAGCCAAATCGCTATCTTTACCTTTACAAATATTGATAGCTTTTCGCTAACTTAAAAAAGCTAGCGATCCTCGTGGCCAAATCGCTGTCTTTATCATAATGATTATAGCTAGCTATTCGCTAGCCGATTTCCCACTGGGAGACTATGTGAATAATTAATTGTCCTGCTCTGGGCCTCTACTTCAGTATGGCTAACACGTATATCGATTTACATATTGTATTGAGTTAGCTTGTGATTTGTACGTGTGTTTTTGTTTCCCTGGTGTTTGTTAGTTATATGCAAGATATGGCATGGTATGGCACACTGCATGGTATGCCCTAAATAATATTATCAATAAATATTTTTATCTATACTTTGTAAATATATATGCTATAATTTATTATATTAATCAAATGTTTATTTTTAATTTATAAAATTAGTGTAAAAGTAAATGAAAGTAATAAAGAAAACGATAGCGGTAAACTTTGAAGCAGAATTTTGTCATGCGAATATGGTGGCAATATGAGAGAACTACTGTGGCAGAATATTACTATCGGAGAAAAGTTTTGCATTAAATCATTGTATAATATTAGTTTTTTCTTGCTTAAAAATATTATGAAATTCAAATCTGTTTTTTCAATTGATTCGTAAAAATCATGTGAGGCCAAATATTCATTTGCCAAATACATTTTATTGCCCGGGCAGCGAATTCAATATAGATAATATAAATAACCTTTACTTTTTAATTTTATATAAAAAATGCGACGCTTTTTTATTAAAAAAAATGTCACATTATTTCGCAGATTCGAGATACGAAAAAACAAACTATAAAAAGTTAAGAAAACCTGCGGTCAAGGACTACTATACGGAAGGACGCGCAAAGTCGATTTCCTGACTCCGCTAGCGAAGGCCATTATTTTTATCAAAGTTAAAGTGTTCTTTAACGTTCCTTTTCACATTTTTTTTTAATTTTAACCATAATCATGGTGAACAAATGTGGTGTTGTAAATTTTAAAGGGAATTATAATAAACTTAATAAGTGTCGTATTTTTAAATTATTGAAAGATGAAATTAAGAAATAGAAATGGATTAATGTTCTTCCTTTACGTAAAAATTTTATTATTGAGCCATCTAAATTTTTTTATTTGTGAAAAATTTTGGCCTGAAAATACAGAAATGATTAAGCTGTCTGGTGGCTATACTTGACCAGCATGTGCACCTTGTATTTTTAATGTTCCTTTTTCTTGTTTACCAACGCCAAAGCCTGTGCCTCGCCAATCTAAACCTGAGGACATGCAATTGAATTATTTCATCAAAAAAGATAGAAAAAATTCGTTTTCTGATTTTTATCCGGACAATGAGTTGCACAAAAAGTATAAAAATATAGTAGTATCTCGACAAGACGATAAATTCACATGCATTTTTATGTCAAAAGATTTCAAAGAGAGTTTTGTGACGATTATTGTTTATGATAAGTGTACCTTGTGTTCACCGCTAACTTTTTCAGCTTTTAAACATGGAATTTCCGTTCCATTAGCTAATATATTGAATCCAAACAATGGTTTAATTTTCTATTCACAATTTTTTGAAGCAATCAATTTAGTTTATAATTATAATCTGCATGTTAATGATGTTATTGAAAAGATGACAAATACTCTTTCAGAAAATGAATTTGAATTAAATGATGATAAGAAACAAAAAAAATTGAATTTTATGACAAGACAACTCAAACTCTTGTCTAAAAAAAGTTTCTCTATAGCTGATTATTGCTTTGCAATCGAGTCGTTTTATAACTGCAACTACGATCAACTTCGTGATTTTTTAGTCCTTCCAAGTAAACGAAAGCTTCAGTCTATAATTTCTCTCACTAACATTGACCATGTTTTACAAAAAACATTTGAAAACGTAAAGAATAATCAACAGAAAAATGTTATTTTGATAGTTGACGAGGTGAAAATTAGCCCAACATTTGCTTATTCGTGTGGAGTTTTAAATGGGATGGCAAGAAATGATCCAGAATCTAAAGCAACCTCTATGCTATGTGTCATGATGAAATGCTTACATGGTGGACCTAATTTAATGATTTCTGTTACCCCTGTTCACAAACTAACATCATTGTATCAGTTCATTGTTGTGAAAGAAGCTGCTATTATAGTTGAAAAACATGGTGCAATACTTTTGGGATCTGTAACTGATAATCATAAAATCAATCAGCAATACTGCAAAATTTTTAACAAAATAACTGACTATTAGACCATTCATCCATTAGACAATCAGCGTGTTTGGTTTCTTTAATATGACACAGTTCATCTATTTAAATGTATTCGCAATAACTGGATTTCTGAAAAGTGTCAAAAGCTATCTCTCGATAATAAAACCATAGCTTCATTTTCAGATGTGAAAAGTCTATATCAATACAAGAAAGAGAACATTTTAAAAACAGTTCCTTTATCCTATGCTGCTGTCTATCCTTCGAGACTTCAACTACAAAATATGCAGCATGTTTTAAGAGTGTTTAATGAGAAAGAAGTAGCTTCCCTTAAACTACAAGGAGCTTATGAAACATCCTCTTTTATCCAGCAGATTTTAGATTGGTGGAATATTGTTAATGTTTCTGCAAAAGGGCAGGATGTTAGGTTGAGAGATCACAACCGATCTGTGCAAGATAAAAATTCAAATAATCTTCAATTGTTTTTAGACATATTTAAATGTATGGAATCACGACATGGGCATAAACGAGTTCAGTGCGTTACTCATGATACCAAAAAACCTCTTGTGCAAACTACTGAAGGATTGATAGCTCTCTGCAAACATTTGTTTTCAGTTGGTTTTGATTATGTTTGGCTTCGTGAGCTACAAAGTGATAGAATAGAAAAAGAATTTTCTGTTTATAGACAATCAACAGGGGCAAATGCTTTTATGGCAGCTGGTGATGTTTTCTCTGCTTTTAAAAAGCGTTTAACCAACCCAATAAAAAGGTCACATATGTGAGGGTCCAATTAGTATTGAAGATGCAACCTCAATTGAAACATGCATTTATAATGTGAGTCTTTCTGAAACTGAAGAGAGCTCTGCTGCCTATGTAGCAGGATGGCTTAAGAAAAAATGTGAAGATGAACTAGTTTATCCAGATCATGAACCTGAAATAACAAATGAAGCTAAAAACTTTATTGAAGAAGTTTCAAGGGGCTATTTGACAGTTCCACATGAGTGTATTTATCAGCTAGTTAGAATTGGTTTATGCTTTGCAAAAAAAGCAAAGCACAGAGCATGTTGTAGAAAAGGACTTATAAACATTCTATCTATAATGGACACATATTATGATTTTGGTTTATCATCAAAGAGTCTTTTTTTGCGTTTGGCAAATGTTCTTCTGCATGGAATTCAGAATTTGGATAAAGACTAAGCAAAAAATGCATGTCTTTATCAGACATCAATTAAGAAGGTACGCCTTGCTGAGTAGTGAATCTTTCTTTTTAGATTTTTTACTTGAAAAATATTGTATTGTTTATTTCTTTACGAAGTAATATTAAGTTCATTATGTTTAAAAAAAAAAAGTTTTAACATTGTTTAAAAGTCTCTAGAGAATATGATGTTTATATGTTTATTTCTTTATAAATAAATTGTGTCAATAATATGTTCTTTGTTTTTTTATAGAGGTTTTTTATATCGACTGATGTGGCTGACAAACAAAGTTGTTGATTAAAGAATCGGACAGTTAGGCTTGTTAAAAGTTTTTGAAGATGTCATGCGCATGTCATTAACGGTGGCCTCCAATTAAAGCGATATCAGCGGCAAATAATTTTTCTTCTACCAGTGGTTACCGTTTTTCTATTGAAATTCACAGCCAGATTTTTTTATGCAAGAAAAATGTTTTGGAGACCTACGCCAATCAGGAGGCGGAATTTGGTAGCCATGACTGGCCGCTTTTCAAGAAAGTTTTGGAGGCAAAATCATTTGGAGGCCACTTCCGAAATTTTTCATAACATCCGCTTGCCGGCGATAAGCAAATGTTTATACAGGATAAATATTTCAGAAATTATTACAATTCTGGTATCAATAAAAATCCTGTTATAAATTATAATCAATTGAAGTATTAAGATTAATAAAAATTTTGTAAAAAAAAAATTTTCAAATAAATTTCTAACATATTTTTAAATTCAGTCGACGAGATGATTTTCTTAATTTCTAAATATACATAATTATCATATTTGTCACATAATTTCTAAAGATACATAATTATCATTATTGTCACATAATTTCTAAAGATACATATTTATATAAACTTGCATCAGAGTAGTAAAATTTTTTTTTAGAAATTTCAACTTGAATTGTTTAAATTTTAATTAGGTTGCTGTTATTTCTTGTTGCTTTTAAATGGGTGACAACTTTAAAGTAGTTAATAAAGTTTAAGCATGATAAAGCAAGAATGCATTGCTTCGTTAATAGACAAAATACAACTAGAGTTTGCTAGAATGGTGATTTTTTTTTCTGCAGAAATAAACTTTTTTTACTTTATTATGTTGACACCCCTCCCCTCCCTCCACCTTCAATGGTATTTTTGTATATTTAGTCGGCAAATTTGACCCTTTTTGACTAGTTTGTCGACAAATGTAGACCCTTTCGGCAGGTTAGTCGGTAAATTTAGACAGGTTAGTCAGTAAATTTAGACAGGATAGTCGGTAAATTTAGACAGGTTAGTCGGTAAATTTAGATAGGTTAGTCGGTAAATTTAGACAGCTTAGTTGGTAAATTTAGACAGTTATGACAGTCAGAGGGCAGTCGGTAAATTTTAAAAAATAAGGACCTTGTCTTTTTTGTTTGTTTTTTTAGTCGGCAAAAGTTGAAACGGTACACTCCCCCACGTGACACCTATTCGCACCGGCTCTGGTCAAAATCAAATTGATAATTTTTCTATTATAGAAAAAAATGGTTTCGGACGCGTGGAATTATTTCGATAAAGTTGTGGTAAATGATAAGAAATATGGAAATTGCAAAAATGTCATAAAAGAATTGCTTGTCCAGAAAGCAGCACATGCGGCCTAATTAGACACGTCAAAAGATGCGAGCAAATAGATTTGAAACCATTCAGTTCCAGACCAGTTTTGACTAAGATGTCGTTAAACTATCTTCTTGCCAAGTTGGCAGCTTTCAGAAATCTGAACTGTAAATCTAATAGTATGCTATCAAGTAGCGGTAAACAAACATTGACTCTAAAGTAAGTTAGGGTATTGAGGTTTGCGCGATTAGTTTGTTTTCCTGTAATTCGTGGAATCTTGATTTTTAAACCTAAGTCTTCTAGTAACTTTGATGCAGTCATAAATATAGAGTTAAAGTTTCTTCATTCTGTCGTCTTTTATTTAATATCTTTATAGTATGTTTAAGAATAGTTTTTGCGTATTCCTTATGCAATTTTTTTTTTGAAGAGCTTCACATAAAGAGACTGTGGTATTTAACACATTAGCTAATGAACAAAGTGTTATTACAAAAAATGGCGGTTTTTAGCAATGAAGCTTTTGTTAAAGAATCCCGTTCACTCCAAGTCAAATGTTACTATTATACTTATTAAACAAGATTTAAAACTTAACACAGAATCATTCCGTTCAATCCATCTTGTTTCGCATAAG